GTTCAAAAACTGTTAGTACCAAGGTAATTTTCGATACTTTTTTGTTAGTGTAACTATTGCCAATTATATAACTAGTATTTTTGCTATCTCTTAATGGAGGCTTCAGTTAATTGCCTTTCAAGCTTCTAGTGTGTTCTTTTATTAGTTGAAACGTTTATAGATTTGTTGTCTTAGCTTTCATATAACTTAATGTCTAGTTCAAAACCCATTTAATCAGCGTCGTTGTAGAAACTTCTCTTCTGAGACTGTAGCAGGAGGAACTCTGTGGGAGTCTTGTTAGACTGTAAAAGATCTGACGTTCAAATTTTTCACAAATACTCCACAGAGAGTGTTACTGAGACCACAAAATAAAGAGTCCTTTTCCAAAACCCCCGGTGTTTGCTTTGGAGTTTTTTGTTGGTCTCTTACTTTTGGCATTGAATATTGAATGTAATAGCTCTTTTCATTTAACCGCAATAATAATGAAAGTAGTTTAAAAACATAACAGGATAAAGTGTTTTTTTAATCTTTTTACAATGGAACATAAATGTACATAACAGCTATATTTCAGCATGACCGCTGCCTGCAGCACATATATTTTTGTATCTTTATGTTTTGGCAGCAGACTGAGACAACCCCTATTGCGTGTTAGGCCATGGTTATCAATAATTTTTTCTGGCATAATATGACATATAATATTTTTAAAATATTAACAAAAAGTTATATATAAAAAATATGTTTGACAACGTTAATAAATTGATCTGATTACTCTGTAGATGTTGACAGCTGTGAGAAGTGGCTGAATTGCAAGAACGACTTCCTCGAGAAATACCTACACCAGGTACTGACTGAATTACCCAACTGCCCTTGCATCTACCCATCCGAGGTGGTCTACAGTGCTGTCAACATTTTTGATAGGAAGTTACAAAAGACCTATCGTTGGCGAGACGCCAGTGGCCCAAAGGAGAGGCTGGACATTTACAAGCCCTCCGCAAAGTTCTGCGTTCGCTCGATGCTATCCTTTGACAGCACCACATTGGCTGCACAGCACTGCTGCTACGATGATCACATGAAGCTCATCACTCGAGGCAAAGGGGCTGGAGCCCCCAACCTTATCAGTACGGAGTTCTCACCGGAACTTCATTACAAAGTGGACGTTCTTCCGTGGATCCTATGTAAAGGAGACTGGAGCCGCTTTCATTCGGTTCGGCCTCCCAATAATGGTCTACTGTGTGTTGAGAACCCGCAGGAAGACGTCTACATGAATGAACTAGAGGAGGCCAGGGAGTACTGATCCAGATCATGGATTTCACATCAAATCAACCAGTGATTGCTTAATTCTGGAGAGTCCTCTAGAGAGATTCATCTGGAGACTAAATCTTAGATACTGTAACAAACTGTTTTGTACAGCTCAATTGCAACAACACTGGTTTAACATGTTGGTCCAAAGCCCAGATTGGAAGATCATGATGCAATTTTTTGACTTATTTCTTCTGTGATGTTACGTACGTGCTCCAAACAAAGTTCAGCAAGAGTTCTTCAATGGCATTATCTGGAACAGGTTCGCTGTGTTTTCATTGGATACACGTTTGTTTTCCTTAAGTGTCCTCAAAGACTCTGCTCCATCATTAAAGGAATTCCAGTAAAGCTGCTAGAATTGTGAGATATTCAAAAATGCAACAGAATGCCTATTTTGTTGTCTTTAGACCTGAAGCTCAATCCTGGCCTTGCTCCAATCCGTGCGAGATCAGTCCAAACAAATCAAACACAAGCCGCACCATTCGCAAACCAATTCAACAAATTTCTGAGAATAGTTCTTCTCTTTAGAGTTTGTATATTGTTACTACAAATATACACAGACTTTGTGTCATTGGATAGATATTTATACAGGATAATTTGACCTTTGACCTACCTTTTCGCGGAGTGCTGTAGCGGAACAAAATTAGGGAATCTGAGAAGCGATAGGGAACCTTTTTTGAACTTGCCTTTGAGAAGACGTCCCTCAGCAATGGGAGGCTTGTTTTTTCAAATCTGAAGTATAATTGGATCCCATTCTGTTTTCAACACAACTCAGCTTTGTACTGAATGCAATATGAGACAGCCGCCTGACACCAGTGCAGGGGGCTGTCAGAGCTTGGTTGATGGATTGAAGTCTTCCTGTAAAGGTGAGGTGAAGGTGACACTTGTTGTAAACGAACATATCTTTAAATACAATGGCTCTTTCAATGTCTCAATTCATCCTTGAGTCCCAAACAAAGCCTAGAGGCTTACATGGGATGAAGTTTGAAGGACCTAAGATGCCCTTTTCAGCACAAGTGTTGTCATGATCTCTTTGTGAGATGCTGACACAGAATGCTGGTGATTTGATTTCTAAATTCCTGCTGACAGACAACTGTTCCATGTAGCAATAAACAACCACCTTTGATAATATCTTACATTGTGATTTTAAGCACAGTATTGTCCTATGAAAACTCAGTTCAGTCTTTTTACTAGATAAATGAAAAAGAGTTCAATATGTTGCATGGATTTGCTGATGCAGATACTCATTGAGTGATGTTGAACCTGTAACTGGTTCTTGGTTTAAATCCCAGCTTAGTTACTGCCAGGTAAAGACTTCTGAGGGTCTTCAATGCAGCTGTGATTCTGAACAAGGTACTTTGATATAAAATCTGCTTGGTTCATCTTAAGATCTACATTCCTCTAGAACAGTGGTTCCCAATCCTGGTCCTGGAGAACCCCCAA